ACGACGACGACGCAAGAGCGCGCGCGCACGCTTTTGTTGAAAATCCCGTGTTGCGAAACCTTGTGTTTTTGTGGGCTTTTGGGACACGATTTTGAAAGTCTTCCGAAACCGATGGGTATTGAAGGTTTTCGGCATACGCGCGCGACGACGCGCGCGTCTGCACTTCGTCTTATTTCTGTTGCAGAGGATTTTCGCGACGGCACACGCACAAGGGCGTTCGACAGATTTCGACATGCGCGCGCGCGAAGCCCGTTTAACAGCATTTTGTGAAAATCTTGAAACACCTATGGTTTTCTCAAGATTTCGCAAGAGCTCGCGCGGAAGCTTTTTTAGCAAATCAGTGTTGCGAAACCCTGTGTTTTTGCATGCTTTTTGGAAGCTCGATCGCGAAATCCTTCCGACACCGAAGGTTTTTGAAGGATTTCGGCATGCGCGCGCGACGACGCGCGCGTGCGCACTTCGTTTTTTTTTTTTTTGTTGCAAGGGATTCGCGAAAAAGTGCTATGTTAGAACAAAAGATGTCTCCGCGCATCGTTTTTTTGCAAGGGAACCTCAGAGGGAGTTCCCCGGGGATCGTGTAAATTCATATGTAGGATGGACATGTGGTCAGAATCAGATATGATTCACATACCCGAAAGGGGGGCGGCGAACGCCGGGGGGGGGTAGAGTCCATTCTATTTTTAGAAAGGAGAATTCACTTGCCGAACTTGAAGTTGTCAACTCCACTGCTCGCGCATTCATCCCACCCACCCACCCGCAACTTGGTTTGCAAAACCAATGCGGGAGCGATTGGGATGAGTGCCGGGTGTTGGCTGGTGCATCTCTGCGGCCGCACTAGCCCGCGCATGCTCGCGCGCGCAGCGGCCAGCTAGTATTGCGCGACCGACGCGGCCGCGGTGGCGCTGACCGCTGGGCACATCCCATCGGGCACTACAGTGCGAGTTGGCGACTTGGGCGGGCGCGGTATCATGGCAACGTCGACAACGGTAGACACGATGATGGTAGTAGCGATGTTGGTGGCGATGCTGACAGCGACGACGGGGCAGCCAGTGACGGCGCCGACGCTGAACACGCCGACGACGATGACGGCGTCTTCGCGTCGGTGATGAAGGTTTTGGGGTGAATTCGACATGCGCGCGCGGCAGACGCGCGAAAGTGGCCCGCATGGTATTATTTGAGACGGACCGTGCCACCCCAGCACGCGCGCAAGGGCGTTCGATCGATTTTGACATGCGCGCGCGAAGCCCGTTTGGTAGCATGTGTTGGAAAATCTTGAAAAATGCTTGGTTCTCTGAAGAATTCACAAGAGCGCGCGCGCACGCTTTTGTTGAACATCCGCGTTACGAAATCTTGTGTTGTATTATGTTTGTTGGGCACTCAATGTTGAAATCTTTGAAGGATTTCGGCATGCGCCCGCGACGGACCGCGCGTGCGAACTTCGTTTCATATTTTGCAAAGGGTTTTTGGAAACTCACGGTTTTTGATCAACGAGTGCGCGCACATGAAAAATCAAGGGAACCGAGGGGGTATCGATACCGCCTGTCTGGGATAGTCTGAATTCACAGGTAGGATGGACCTTGGGTCAGAGTCACACGTGTCTTGCACAGGTGCCCAGGGGATCGATAAGTCCAAGGGGGGAAGGGGGGACTTGTTTCCTTTAACAAGAGAACTGGCTACCCTGCACCGCGGTTGACCACTTCCACTGCTCGCGCAATCATCCCACCCACCCACCCGCAGCTTGGTTGGCAAAACCCATGCGGGAGCGATTGCGGTGAGTGCTTGGCGTTGGCTGGTGCATCTCTGCGGCCGCGCCGACCCAAGCACGCGCGCGCAGCGGCCAGCTAGTTTGGCGCGACCGACGCGGCCGCGGTGGCGCTGACCGCTGGGTACATCCCATCGGGCACTACAGTGCGAGTTGGCGACTTGGGCGGGCGCGGTATCATGGCAACGCCGACAACGGTGGACACGATGATGATAGTAGCGATGGTGATGACGACGTTGGCAACGACGACGGCGCGGCCAGTGCGGGCGCGGCGTCCTCGCGTCGGCGATGAACGTGCAAAAAAAGGGTTCGGCATGCGCGCGCGGCCGTCGCGCGAGAGTGGCCCGCATGGTATTCTTTGACACGGATCGTGCCCCCCCCCTTCAGCACACGCACGAGGGCGTGCGGAATGATGTCGGCATGCGGCGCCATAGGCTCGTTTGGCAGAGTTCCAGGACCATGTTGAGAAACCAGTGGTTCTCGTAAGAGCTCGCAAGAGCGCGAACGAACGCTCTTTTGAACACTGGTGTTGCGAAACCATGCGTGGCAACATCTGTTTTTGGCCAGTTGGTTTTGACATTGTTTCGAAACCAGAGATTCTTTATGGATTTCAACATGCGCGCGCGACGACGCGCGCGCGTGCACTTCGTCCTGTTGTTTGCGAAAGGTTCTCGCGACGGCACGCGCGCAAAGGCGTCCAAACGATTTCGGCACGCGCGCGCGAAGCCCGTTTGGTAGCATGTTCTGAAAATGTTGAAAAAACCAATGGTTCTCTGAAGAATTCCCAAGAACGCTTGCGAAAGTTCACGAAGACGACGACGAGGGAGGAGGGAGGAGGAAGGACGACGACGGCGACGACGACAACGACGATGGAGAAAGGATGACGACGACGACGACGACGACGACGACGGCGACGAAATAGGAGGGACAACGACGAGACGCCGACGAAGACGACGAGGGAGGAAGGACGACCACGGCGACAACGACGACGGAAACGACGACGACGCCAAGACGACGACGACGACGAGGAAAGACAGGACGACGGCGGCGACGACGACCACGACGAGGGAGGAGGGAGAAGGACGACGACGACGACGCAAGAGCGCGCGCGCGCACGCTTTTGTTGAAACTCCGTGTTGCGAAACCTTGTGTTTGTATGTTTTTCGACACGATTTTGAATTCCTTCCGAAACCGAAGGTTTTGGAAGGATTCCGGCATGCGCGCGCGACGACGCTCGCGTCTGCACTTCGTCCCGTCGTTTGCAAGGGATTATTGCGACGGCACGCGCGCAAGGGCGTTCGAATGATTTCGACATGCGCGCGCGCGAAACCCGTTTGGTAGCATTTGTTTTGAAAATCATGAAACACAGATGGTTTGCCTAAGATTTCGCAAGATCGCGCGCGTAAGTTTTTGAAGAAAACCCGTGTTGCGAAACCATGTGTTTCTATTTGTGTTTTTGGAAACTCGATTTTGAAGTCCTTCCGAAACCGAAGGTTTTGGAAGGATTGTGCCATGCGCGCGACGACGCGCGCGTCTGCACATCGTCCCGTTTTTTTTGCCAGGGGCTTTTTGGAAACTTATGATATTTGATAAACGCGAGTGCGCGCATAGTCTTTTGCAGAGGATAGCGGGGGAGTGATACTGGCCTGGCTGGGATAGTATGAGTTCAGATTTAGGATGGACGACGGGGCAGAATCATATGTAAATTGCAATACGGGAAGGGGGACCGTTAACTCCGGGGGGGGTCGAGTCTATTCTTCTTTTAGAAAAAGGGGAATATATGTTGTGCAACGTATGCGGTGCGATCTATCTTGTACGATCCATGATGTGCAAAATATGCGTTGCGATCTACATACATTGTGCTACTAATGGTGTGCAATCCATGCGGCGGCGGGGCGGCAACGGCGGCAGCATAGCCGCCAGACCGCCAGCCAGGCCCAGACGACGGGCGGAGACGAGGCGGCGACACAGCCGCCAGACCGCCAACCAGGTCCAGTTCCTTAGAGCACGAGTAAGAAACCCTAAGTGCAAGCACCGTTTTGGGAAATCTGATATTGTAGCACCCCGCAGTTGCGGATAACGGTGAGGGATCGGGCGCGGGCAGGTTCGCGAGTGGGTGGCGGGCAGGACGTGGGCAGGTCGCGGGTGGGTCGCGGGTGGGTCGCGGGTGGGTCGCGGGTGGATCGCGAGTGGGTCGCGGGTGGGTCGCGGGAGGGTCACGGGCGGGTCGCGGGTGGGTCGCGGGCCGGGCCGCGAGTGGGACGACGACAACATCAACGACCAACAACAACGCAACAACAATCTCCACCGCGGAACCCCGCACCCAGGGACAGTAAATGGTCGCTCCCCCCCCTTGCTCTGACGTATTTGTACATATATGTGTGTGTGTGTGTGCACAAGTGGCATGCCCAGGCTCATACACAAATAAGAGCTGCAGCACGTACGCATCGCTGAAAACATGATGAGAAGAAGGGTATGAAGTCGGTTCCGGCGAGGAGGAGAAGGAACGGGATTGAGAAGCAGAGGAAAAGGGTGTTGTTGGGAAGGAGGTGCAACAACGGGATCGCAGTCGAACGCAGGTGGGGTTGCCACACCTTGCGATGTGTGTGTGGCGCAGAAAGGTGTTCGACACCTTGCGATTGTTTTCGAAAAGGAGCTCCGAAGCTAATGTTGGGAGGATTTCTAGAGCGAAACTGTCGGCTGTAGGAATATGAGGGCAACTTGAATGCGTGGAGACTCAATGTTCGGGGGATGTCTCACGCGAAACGGCATTTGTCCTTAACGCGGCGTCCCAAGTCATTGAACATGTTTGAAAGTGTGTGCGTGTTTGAAGGTGTTATGTTTGAACGTTGAAAATGCGTTGTGTGTTTGGACCGCGACTTTGCGATCTGCGTGAGGGGTGCGCCCAGATTCCAGAATTGTGCGTATTTCCCTAGCGAGGCGGCCACACACATCACGAACGGGGCGACTTATAGTCATCGCTTGTGAGCTCTATTACCTCGGAGAGGTGCGTATGAGAAACATCTTCATAGACTCACACCTTTTTTTATGAGTATACGTGACTGTTCTTACATGTACACGTATACATACGAATAGACCAACCTATAGAAGCATACATACGCACACAGGAGTTTAAGCACATATATCCTCCTCCCCCACCCCATTCATTCTCCCTCCTCCCCCACCCGCATCCACCTCATCAGTCTTCTCCTCCTCCCCCTCCACCCCCAACCTGCAGGACGTTGCAGAAGCGCACTGGAAGGAGTACGGTCGCAACTATTACGCCCGCTACGACTACGAGAACGTCGACAAGAAGAAGGCCGAAAAGATGATGGCGACTATGACCGAGCAGGCTGGGGGATATTCAAAGAAGACAACAGTCATCTCTATATAGGTATCTATATATACATATATATATATATATAGACATCAACTGTCAGAGGTCCGCGTGAATTTCGTGGATCGCGCGGGCTTCCTGGATCGGCGCCTGCGGCGCCGCCTCTGGCGTGCTCAGAGCGCCAGGGGTGCGGCCTAGAGCCGATGCAGGAAATCCACGCGGACCTCCAACATTTAGTGTGTATGTCGTTCTTAACTCACTGCAGAAAGAGGACAAGGACGAGGAGGAGACGTGTTCAGGACAGGGCCCGAGGGGTGGATCTCGAGGGGGACGAGAAAGACGACGACGACGACGACGACGACGACGACGACGACGACGACGACGACGACGACGACGACGACGACGGCGGCGGCGGCGGCGACGACGACGACGACGACGACGGCGGCGGCGGCGGCGACGACGACGACGGCGGCGGCGCAGGCGGCGGCGGCGGCGGCCACGACGACGACGTCTTCTCGTCATCCCGCTTCCTTGCTCGCGTGCCTGCTGCTGGGCCTCCTGCTGTCGGCGGGAGGGGGCACGCTCGGGCCCCTTCGCGGCGGCCCAGCGGACGCCGCCCTCCCGTGCGCGCGCCGGCGGTGGCGCTCCCCCCCGCCTCCGCGGCCACCCTGCGCAGGGGCATCCCAGAGTCCCTCCCCCTCCCTCCCGAGCTGGGCTTCGAGAGGCCCGAGGATTCTCGGAGGGTGCCCGGCGGACCCTGCCACGGCCCCAGGAGGCCCCTTCTTAGATGGCCGGAGGGTGCTCCGAGACGTGCCACTGTCAGGAGGGAAGAAAACGCACAGACACAATTAATCCTCGATTCCCAGGAAAATATGGGAAAATATGGGAATTGGGGGGGAAGACAAAAACCCAGAAAATATGGGAAAATATGGGGACTATTTTTATTTGTGTGCATTTATTTGTGTGTCCTAATTTCCCTTTCTTGTTGCACCGTGGCTCTGTGCTGCCCGAGCCGGCGGGGGCCACGTGCCACGCTCCGCCTCGAGGCTCCCGTGCGGCTCCAGGGAGCCGCTCTGCGGCGGCGGCGGCCCGCGCCCACGGCGCGGGCAGGGAAGCGGAAAGCCCGCCTGCATCAAGTTGGAGTACACCTTAGGCGATGCTTAAGAAAACCTAAGTTTTCGGCCAGAGTCTCGATTATTCTTAATGTTTCAATGTGCATCCTAAGATTTTGATAGAAATGTTGGTTTTTTATCCAAGTTCTGAGACCATGAATTTCTTAACCCATGATTTCTTAAGCATTTCGCAGGGAGTACAGTCGAGGCGCTGGCATGAGGATCCTTCGGGGCGCAGGAGGGGCTCTGGCGTGCGGGCCGCTCTTCAGAAGATCCAGATCGTGGGAGCTGCCATGGAAACCCACAGGAAGGACGGGTTAAGCTTCCTGAGGGCACCCTTGCGTTTCTAAATTTGTTCGGCAGAGCGCCGCTAGAGAAGCTTCAACCCGGGCGTCCAAGGACCGTCCCAGGGTCTTGCGGCCTTGCAGCGCGTCCTTACTACAGGGTTGGACTGCAATCGTGGCCCAGGCTGGCCGTGGCCACGAAAGCCCCCCCCCCCGGTGGATTCCGGATTCACCGTTCCGTATGGTAGCACGATGGCTATAACACATGCGCTGCGCAAGACACGGGAGCGAACGCAGCACGTCCCCGGCCGGCATTGCGCAGAGGGGGGTAGGGGGAGGGGGGAAGGCTTCTCAGAAGCACACCTGCTTCTTAGAAGGCGCGGGCCTTGTCTGTAGATGTAAAGCTTGCGCCTTCTAAGAAGCAGGCCTCCTTCTAAGAAGCCTTCCCACCTCCCCCTACCCCATTTGCGCGCGCCGACAACCTTCCCTTGCTCATAGCGGCTACGCTTATGCATCCAGTGCACAGGCGGTTGTTTTTAGCATCGAGCTAAGGCCAGGTTATTTGGAGCAGCGTATAGAGACACCGAAGCACCTGCTCGAACGTATCATTTCTTAGCACACGCTTGTATGTCAACGGCAGGCAACGTATCGCTCAAATTCCGGAGTTGGTGTTGACGGGAACGCCACAGAGTCGGCAGAAGGGGTTGCATTCACCGCATAAGCAATAGGTCGAGGCATTTATTTACCTCAAGTAATCAATGTGTTGCAGCCCCCATAGCCCTCATTGTTCGCCAGGAATTTGTACGCAGAATCCCCTGACGTATATTGGCGACATGCCCTTTTCCGCCTCGGTCGCAACACCAAGGATAACGAAAGCAGTCGGCACTACGGCTATGGCACCTACAGGCCTTCCTGAAGAACACTACATCGTCCAACAAGCAAGAGAAGGCGTTGAACAACATCAACAGGCATGCTGAATCATATGACGGTGCCACTGTCGAACAACTTGCACCGAACTCATCTCTGCGTTGTCCCCAGCGCAGGAGGGGCAGAGGAAGGTGGTAGTCTGGACTGTTGTGGCGTTCACCGAGGGTCCAAGACCACAACGCAGAGTCAGATGCACCGCATCCGTCGCCAGGGACGGGATGACACAAACGCAGTTGACCCTGTACCGCCTTTGCTCCCCAGAGCAGGCACGACCGAGAATGATGTAGCCTGGGCACATGTAGAGCGAACTTGTCGTGATGGGTCAATTTTCCACTACCACTAGCATCGGTAGGACGGGGGAGAAGAGAGGATGGGGAGGTCGGTCCTCCTACCCCCTCCTCCTCCTCCTCCTCCTCATCTTCCTCCTCCTCCATCCCCTCCTCCTCCACCTCCTCCTGGGCACATGTAGAACGACGAACTTCTTGCAATCTAACAGAGGTGTGGCCTTCTGGGGGCACGTGGTAGTTATGCATGTCACTACTGCTTCGTGGCCTCGAGAGCTCGAGCCTGTTGCAAGTTAGATGGGGCTGCTGCCTCGGGGGTGCGACGGCGTCATGGGGGCGCGAGCGCTCTGCAATTCGCCAAGAACTGCGGCCTCGGGAGCGCGAGAGCGCTGTAACATGTAAGGGGCCTGGGGCTTCGGGAGCGCGAACGCGCCGTGACTCACAAGGGGGCATGCCCTCGGGAGCGCGAGAGCGAGGCAACTCACGAGGGGCCGCGCCCCCCCCCCGGAGAGCGCGCCTGCCTTCCTTTGCTCGGAGCCGTGGCCTCCTCAGGAGCGCGACCGCGCCGCAAGTCGCAGAGGGGGGCGTGGCCCAGGAAGCGCGACGGCGCCGGAGTGCACGAGGGGCTGCGGCCCCTGGAGCGCGAGCGGAGGAGGAGGAGGAGGAGGAGGAGGAGGAGGAGGAGGAGGGAGGAGGAGGAGGAGGAGCGAGGAGCGAGGAGCGAGGAGCGACGAGCGAGGAGCGAGGAGCGAGGAGGAGCGAGGAGGGCCGTGGCCCCGGGATCGCGCATCCGCTGGTTTCTGTGTTGCTGCTGTTTTTTGTCGCATCCGAGGGCACCCAGACACTCCGACGACGTGATTCTGGGGTGGTAGCGCTGTTCTGTTTGACCAGTTTGGTCGCGCGTTCTGCAGCCTTCCAACCTTGGGGCCGGCGGACACTGAACGCAGATCTATAGCATCTGACATCTCAGAATCGAGGAAGCGCATTAGAGTTGGCAGTGGACTCAAGGAACAGAATTGGCCGCAGGATGCTGAACCTGAACCTTCGCAGCCTGGTGGCCCCCAAGTGGGCCGGCATATACACACATGCACAGCGCACGTAAAGGAGAGAGAGAGAGAGAGAGAGAGAACGAGAGAGACAACAAACAAATAAGAAACATCTTATATATATAGAGAGAGAGAAAGAAAGAAAGAGTGAGAGAGAAAGGGATACGTGTGTGTATACATATATAATATATAAAACACAAAGCGAGAGAGAGAGAGAGAGAGAGAGAAAGACCGGGAGAGCGAGAGAGAGAAAGAGACCAGGCGGGCAAATTGACGGGCAATTTGGTCGAGGGCATGAAAATCGCTAAGAACGACGTCTTCGAGTACAACGACCCCGTCGATGGCAGCGTGTCTAAGAACCAAGGCATCCGCTTCATCTTCGAGGACTGCTCAGCATTGTCGTTGCCTTCATCCTCTCATCGCTCCTCCTCCTCCTCTTTCTCCTCTTTCCTCCCCGGAGGTCCCCGGAGGCCTCGAGAGGCCCGAAACAACGAAAACCGAAGATTTGTTTTTTTCGATGCGCGGCCTCAGGGGTTCCGAACCCTGCCCTGAGGATAGTTTGTCGTCCTGGATCCATTTGTGATGGTCCAGGGTCCCGATAACACGCCCCCGAGACCGGAACTTGGGAATGAGAAAACTCGCATCCTCGGACAGAACAAGGCTCAATTGCCTCGCAAGATGTAAAAAGGTCCCTGCTTGTACCCGTCTTTCTCCAGTCTGTGTTCCAGGACGGCTCGCGCATCATCTTCCGTCTCTCGGGCACTGGGGTCGCGGGCGCGACGGTGCGCATGTACCTCGAGAAGTACGAGCCGCCCACCGGCGACCTCAGCAAGCACCAGTTCGACGTGGTGAAGCCCTTGGCGGAGGTCGCGCTCAAGCTGTCCGGGCTGAAGGCCTTCACTGGCGTCGATACTCCGACCGTCATTACCTGAGCGGCCCGCAGTGTGATGAGGATCAGGAGGCGTTGGAGGAGGAGAAAGAGGTGGAGGAAGAGGAGGAGGAGGCAGAGAAGGCCAACGAGGAAGAAGCATAGTAATAAGATCAATGATACTAAGAACAATAAGACAAAGAAACATAAGCAGAAGAAGAAGAGGGTAAGGACAACGGGGAAGACGAAGGAGGACCAGCTGGAGGAGGAGGAGGAGGAGAAGGACGAGCACGAGGACGAAGAGGAGGGGGAGGCCCACCATGAAGTTCCTGAGTTTCTTGCACTGGGTGCCCACCTGCGCCCGCCAGGAGACCAGCTGACGGAAGCCAGGGCCGCGCTCCACCGTGCGCGAGAGCGCCTGGAGTAGCTCCAGGGCCGACGTCGACAGCTGCAACAAGGAGGGCACGCTGCCGCTGCGCTGCTGCGCACCTACGCCGGCAACGCCAGCCAGCACAACCTGCAGCTTGCGCTCGCGGCGGACGTCAAGGGTTTTCCGCTACGATGCCAGGCTTGCGCCCGTTATGGGCCCGCCAGCTGCACTGGGCAGAGCAGAGGCCCAGTGGGCAGCAACGCGCCGTGCGGCGCAAGCGGCCAGCGCAGTGCAGCGCAACCTCGTCGCCGCTTCGGTTACCGACGGTGTGGGGGCGCTCCCGCAGACGCGCGCGAAGCTCGAATCAGCGCGCGCCGAGCTGGCGCGCCAAGGCGCAGAGCCTTCCTGGGGGGCCCGCTGGCTACAGCGCTCCGCGAGGAGGCGCGGCAGAAGGTTGTGCTTGCGATCGTCCACGGGGCACTTCACGCTGCTGCAACAAGCAGCGAGTGGATTTCCCCAGCGAGGTTCTTTTGCTGCCTGCTAGTGGGCCAGTGGCGAGCCAGCCAGCCTGCTGCATGGAGGACGTTGATTTGAGCACCCTTCTCCGCCGCCGCCGCCGCCGCGTGCAGCTGCCGCGGCTGGAGTGCTCGCGCGGGGAGCCGGCACGGGCTTCTGGGACTTCCCGCAAACGGACACAGGGCGGCGCCACCTGCTCGGCCCCGCGTGAGGCCGACGGCTGCAAAGCTTGCGCTTGCTGGAGTGGCGGGGGTGTCGTCCGACGCCACGGCGACTTTGGAGGAGACGATGGACGGGCCCGGCAGGGAGGCAGCGGCATTGCACGCCACGTCACGAGCAACCAGCGTCCTAACCTGGCGCATCTTGGACCGGGCCGTCCTGGACTTCGAAGCGAGCGGCCCGCGGTGGGTAGGCGGGAGTGTCCGCCACCCGGCGGCTGGCGGCGAACGGCTGTCTAGGCCGCGGCGCGCTGGGCTGGCGAAGCTCCTCGCTGGGCCGAGCGGGGGGAGCGAGACGAGTGCCCAGGCGATCGCATGACCTCTGTCGCGGTGGAGATCTTTGAGCCAGCGGGGCGCCGAGGCGCGCGAATGGCTCCCCGGGCACGTGCACGAGCTGCACCAGGACGCGCAGCCAGGGGAGCTGACGCGCGCCCGCGAGGCCCTCAGCTGCGCGCGGCAGCGCCAGGTGGCGCGCCAGCTCGGGTGGGGCAGCCGGGCCGCGCTGGGGCGTCGGGGAGGAACATGGGGAGGTTTTTGCTATGCAGCGCACGGCGCGACGCCAAGCAACCGAATCGCAAGCGTTGTTCAGCTGAAGCTCAGCGTTAGAAGACGCCGCCAAGTGTGGCTCACCATCTTCTTAGTTAAACAAACACGAGAAGGCCGCCCCGCGGCGAGGGAAAGAAGAGGCAAGCAGCAGGGGAGGGGAGAGCAAGAGAAGAAAGAACAGCAGCAGCAGCAGCAGCAGCAGCAGCAGCAGCAGCAGCAGCAGCAGCAGCAGCAGCAGCAGCAGCAGCAGCAGCAGCAGCGCAAGCGGGCCGACGCGGCCGGCCGCCGCGACATGGCGCCCTAGTTTTGCGCGGCGCCCTGTGCCAGCAGGCGCGCAGGGCAGCTCCCGCGGCCAGCCGCGGGCCCCATGGGGCAGCCGGGGCGCGCGCCGCCTCCTCCGGGCCCGCCGCCGCGCCCTGCGCCTCCACCCGGCCTTGCGCCCCGGGGAGGCTGCGCCCGAGCGCGGCCCATCCCCGCAGCCCGGCAAGGCCTGGGCATCCACCGGCCGCCCGGCCAGGCGGGCCGCCCAGGGCGGCCGCCGCGCCGCCCCCCTGTTGGCCCCGCTGGCGGCTGAGCGCCCGGTCGCCGCCGGCGGCGCCGCCGTCCTCGTGCTGCGCCGCCGCCTCGGCGGCCCTCCTGGCGGCCCTCGGCAGCTCCGTGGGGAAGTCACCCCCGTCGAGCTCCACCGTCGCCTTGGCCGCAGCCCGGCCGGTGCCCGCGGGCGGGCCAGCCGTCGCGAGGCGGCCCCAGCGCAGGAGCGGCAGGTCCGTCGCCGAGTGGAGCCCACCACGCGACCCGCCGAGCACGTCCTGGCCCCCCGCCCGAGCACAGGCTGCCAGCTCGCACGGTACAGCGCGTCGCAGGGGCCGCCGCCGCGACGTGCTGAGCACAATTGCTCTCGGCATCGCGAACACGGGAGAGCACGGCCTCGACAGAAGCTTCCAGAGGTCCGCGAGGCAGAGGAGCAGCCTGCTTTGTCGGCTTGAGGGGCGTAGCGTGTCGCATGGGCCCCGCCGCCGCGCCTCCAGCCTCCCGTGCCAGGAGCCAGGAGCCAGGAGCAGCCGATGCAGCAAAAGGCGTCCCTCGGCAGCCTCCGCCCCCGTCACGAGGGCTCGAGTTTCCAGAGTGGTGGCTGGATCGATAGTGGTCTGGCCAATGTGCAAAAAACAGCCTGAGCCAAAATGCGAAAGTGATCGTTTTCTGATTCCTTCCTTTACCGATCGGCGCGGCCCTCGCACCTCCTTCCCCTTCCCCTCCTCTGGAGTAGATCTTGGCTGTTTTGGGCGCCTGTTTCGAGCAGGTGGAGTCTCCCCCATAGGACGCAATTCTACAAACAGTCTTCCTCGGCGGAGGGCCGACGGAGGCACAACGGCGGCACCCCCGCCGGCGGAGAAGGTGCGCCCCAAAGAAGCATCAGTTACTTCATTGCATCTTGTTTTGCTGAGGTCGGGACTTCGGAATCCGCCGTGTCTGGGATCGTCAGGGCCTCCTAAGCGGGGACTTCGATAAAGCAGGGCACGGGCGCGCCCGAGAAACTGCTGCCGCGGGTCGAAGCATTCTCCGTTGCTCGTTCTCTCCAGGTTGAATGTTGAATCTTCAAGGGCCCTGTTTGCAACATCCTGGCTTTGGCGGCCAGGAGATCGTGGCGTGTGGGGCCTGAGATCGTTTCTGTCTGGCACTTTGCTCTTGGCCACGGCCGTTAGATCGTTGGCGGCGCTTGCTGCATTCGTTCGAAGAGGCCGTGCTCTTGCTGGTTGGCGGCCTCCTCGGGGCGTGGCGCGGTGTTGATGGTGGTGAAGGTGGTCGTGTTGTTGATGGTGCGCTGGTGAATGAGGAGGAGGGGGCGGGAGGGAACAGAAGCAGCGGCGGCGGCGGAGGAGGAGGAGGAGGAGGAGGAGGAGAAGGAGGAGGAGGAGGAAGAGGAGGAGGGCGACGCCGACCATGAGGGGAGGGGAAGGGAAAGCAGGAGGAGCAGTGGGATGACGATCGAATAAGGAATCAAATGCACAAACCTTACCTGTGGGAATTCCGCGAGGATTTCCAGAAGTGTATGTTTATGCAGCTTGTGGCTTCTAGAGGGGGGGAAGAGGAGCAGAGAGGAGGATACGGTCAGGAACATTGGCTTAGCGTTTGGCTGCGCCACTTCTGGCCCACCACGCTTCGGCGCGACACGCTACCCGCGTCCCCATTCCTAAGCGGCAACATCTCGAGCTGCTCTCAGCCTCCCGCCCCGCGGAGCAGAGCGACACTGGAAAAAGACTGCATGCATAAACACAAGCGTTTGACGGCCCGCGCGGAGTTCACGGCTCTGCGCTGGGCCCCACCTGGCGGAGCCTCCGGCGCCGCCCTTGGCGCCCTCCGCGCGCCGGGGAGGAGGGCCCAGCGCCGATGTTGGGGGCCCCCAAACGGTGTGGTGACCACACCGTGCGGTGAGTCGGTGGGGATTCGGGGTCACCGCACGGTTTTGGGACTCGAGTTCTTCTCCAAGGATGTCTCGGGCGACAGGGGCCTCCAGGGTCCCAAAACCGTGCGGTGACGAACCGTGCGGTGAGGTCTGGGAGGATTTCGAGGTCACCGCACGGTCACTCACCGCACCGTTTTGGGACTCCCAACGATGCCAGAAATCCGCGCGGACCTCCAGTCAGTTCTGCTGGTGCAGCGTGCCCTTCCTCTACGCACGGCCCAGCGCGTCGCCAGGAGCCGCCGCCGCGACACGCCACGGCAGTCGAAACCGATGGCCAGGATTGCGGAGGACGATCAATGGAGAGGGAGCTTGTTGCCAAATCATTGCCAGATGTCTAAAACATGTGTTCAACATGTTACAAGCATGTAGTGCAAAAAAAGAAAACATGTTTAACATATGTCCAGAACATTCTTCAAACACTATACACATGTTGATTCAACGATCGGACTGTTGGGGTGTCCATTGCCATGGCATCCGCAAGGGAAAGATGGGTAACCTTCCCAAGGGTACTCGTGCATCCTTGCCTCTTCTGTCCGATGGCCAGCCCCGCGTTGGAAGAGCCTCGACATGGGCGTCCACGGCCCCTGCATCCGCATCGCGCATCCTTGCTATCAGTGCTCCCTTTAAGCAGAAGTTCCCGACCTCAGGGGGGAGGGGGGGTTCTCGGAGAGGTAGGCCGCCGATGCGGAGCGCAGCAGGGGCCCCGCGGGAAGAGCCGCCGGAAGGTCCCGTGGCGGCCCAGCGGCCTCCCAGTTCGGCCTCCTGTTGCTGCCCCTTCTTCCCCCTCCTCTTTTCTCTTCCTTCCTCCTCCTCCTCCTCCGCCTCCTCCTCCTCCTCCTCCGCCTCCTCCTCGTCCTTTCCGTAGCAATTTTGGATCGAGGTTATAGCTCAATCGCAGCCAAGGGGCTGGATCGAGGGCCCCTGCCCTAGATCTGCACCGTCTCACTCGT